GAACAACATAGCCCCATATAAATAACATAAAGGTTAATCTTCTAGCTTGCTTCCCCCTGTATTGCCAGAGAGCAAAAATTATTAATTCAAATTCAACCTCTCCAATTAATGGGTATGTTTTGCTGATAAAAAGCAGATTACATTTGCTAAAAAAAAAAAAAAAAAAAGAAAGTCCCATCAGTCACAAGGATTCTGTCACAAACTTTCTATTTTCCTTTGGCACATCACCAATTAGACCTAGTTCTCTAGTCTGCTACCACCAGTATAAAAAAAAAAAAAAAAAAGGCATAATGGGTTTATAATTTGTCACCAAATCCCATAGCAACTGTACATCACTTTAGATGTAAATTACAGACAATTCCTTCCAATGCCATTTGAAAACTATAGAGACGAATCTATAATTTGAGCAGATCCAAATGCTATACGGTTGAGAGAGAAAAAGCTTCCCTAAATAATTGAAAGAAAACTGCCACGGGCCAAAACATTCCTCGTGCACAACGTTCAGTGTCTCTTTGTCCCCCTCCTTCCAATGGGAGGTGCCACATTCAGGTCAACGTGAAGAACACTGAGCAGGAGTTGAGCAGTTCAGGGTGTTCTGCAGATCCTGTCCCATTTTTGCTGATGAGCTTCCTCTCCAGCCTCCTCTGATTCATTCAGTCATGTCACCGACTCATGCTCCCGATGTCGTAAGAGCCTCAATTTTGACGGACTACAGCATCAGTGAATTAATAGGACAGGAAAAAACAGGTTACGGGGAAGGAGGAATGATGCAAAAAGCTCTGAGATAATTCAATGAATTTTGATTGGGAAGGCGGATTGTTCTTCTCCTCCTGACACCTGCAAGCAGCTTTCAATTCTCAAGTCAGCATGAATACGCATTACCCTAAAGACCCTGTAATGACAGCACAGCCTTCATTTTGTGTTTCGTGCTTTGAACACAGCAAGATGAAGGAATCTCCACAACCTGCTCCAAAAGCCAAGGCTGGAAAGTTATTTCAGTAAATAGCAACTCCAAGGGGTCGGGTTAACCCTCGTTTCCAAGGGATTGTTTCTCTCACGGTTGGTTTTAGAGCAGCATGGGGAAGACGATTTGGGAAGCCACATCCATCAGACCACAGTCCCAAAATTCAGCTGGGTGAGCACAGGGACAACGTGCTTTGGTTATCTCAGCTTAGTCCCCAATAAATATTTGTGCATCTGCCAAAGTTCACCAGCGAATCAACCGGTGGCTGCAGTTCAAAACACTCTGGGGTAGCAGGGGCACAGAGGGACAACGGGAGCAGGATGTGCTGCTCAGCTCCACCACCAAGGGATGCTACAGCCTTCTTTAAACCCTCCAAAAACCACCAGGCAAGGCAGGAGCAGAGCAGAGTTCAGCCATTGTTAGGTCAACACATAAAGTGACAGGGAAAGGCGTGCAAGTGCATCACGTTGCCTGCAATCAAAGAGCCACCTCTCAACCACAGAGAGGTTTATAGAAATACGTGGAAGTTGGGAAAATCCCAGGTAAGGGTTCCAGGAACAGCCCTAACACTGTTTATGTGACATCAGCACCTTCGCTGTAAGGGAGACAGAGCTACTGCCAAGGGACACTCAGGTCTGCCATGTGGCATCTGAATCAGGCAGGAAGGTGGGGACTTACCCAGGATGCTGCTAAAAAAAAACAGATGTGAAAAATAAAGGATGAATGATAACTAAGGGTATAAGGTGAGGATGGTGAAATATTTCCTCACCGAGGACAGGAATGAAGGAGGAAGGCAAGGCACAGGTGTGAGGAGTTCCCTTCTACCTTGACAGGGGCAGGAACAAAGTTGGGGGGCACACAAGAAGTCACAGAATCATCTAATCCCAGAATGGTTTAGGTCAAAAAGACCCTGAAGACCACCCAGCTCCACCCCCTTGCCATGGGCAGGAACACTTTCCAGCAGATGAGATTGCTCCAAGCCCCATCCAACCTGGCCTTGGCCATGCCCTGCCTTTTTGGGGGGAGTGGCAATGCCTAACCACATACACACCCCCAAAAGGAAGGCAGCAAACTGCAGGCTGCTCTAGAATTACACTCCCTGGAGAACCCGGAGTTGTTTTAGGTGAGCACACCAGACTGGCTCCATTTCATCAGTGGACAAACCAACTTGGGACACACTTCCCACTGCTCAGCCCTCTGAGCTCAGTAGCCAGAGCTCTCAGTTTCACAACTGTGGGGAAACAGTTTCAGGGACAGCAAGTTTCACAAGGAGCAGCTGGGTGACATCTCACTGTGTCCCCTGTGAAGCCAGTGCTAATTCTCTTTTTAAGGCTCCTATTTCTTTCAGGTGAGCTACCAAAAAAACCCTTCCCAGGATCAGAAGCCAGCAGCCCTGTGAGCTGGAGCTCCTCAGCAGCAGCTCCACATCCTCTGTACCTGACACAGGAACAGCTTGCTGGAACTTAAGAGCTGGGGATCAATATCTCAAAATCATAGAATGGTTTGGGCTGGGAGGGACCTTAAAGCTTGACATGTTTCAACCCCTTCCACGAGCAGGGACACCTTCCACTAGACCAGGCTGCTCCAAACCCTATGCAGAATTTGGATCCCTGACCATTTCCTTCCCTAGGACGCAGACAATTCAGCAGAAGCACAAGAGCACAGCTCAGCAGAGGCCCAACAAGACAAATATCTGTTTCTCCACAGCTCCGCTGCCTGATCCACACATGGTGCAGCTCCACACCAAGCCTGCAACTGCTCTGGCACCAGGGACACTCCAAACAAATGGCAGCTCGCCCGGCTGGGCGATCATTTTTGGATTATGTAATCCCAATACATTATTATTAGACCAAGAACAAACTCAACCAAGGAAGCGAAGACATTTCCCTGCCCGTTCTGGCAGGGGGACAGAGCCTCGTCGCGGGAATCGCGGACGCGCTGCCCCAAACAGGTCGGACCGCACGCGTTGGACTCCAGGTAACACAAAGAGCAGGATGGGATTCCAGGCCATTATCCATATTACACAACGCCGCCGTCAGTTCCACCGCGTTTCAAACCAAACCGAGCAGAAGGAGAACTGAGCAAATTTTTTTCCATTGAACCGCTGCAGCCCAAAATGAAAGCAGGGCTGGAGCGGGCGAACAGAAGCTGCAAAGGTGTGTTGGAGGTGGCTCCTGGCAGGGCCGGGCCCAGAGCTTCCGAGGAAGCTGAGATGTTCCACAAGCTGGGGAAACTGTTTATAGAACCCATGCAGAACGAGCATATGTGTTTAATAGCCCACTAATTGTTGCGTTATTCACTACACAAACAAGCAGCTCTTCTGCCCTTATCCCTTCCTGCCCAGTTAATCACCAGGAGCCTCTGACTATTTCTCTTTTGGGTGGCGGTGAAGGAAGCAAAGTTCATTAGTGGCCGTTGGCCACCACACAATCCCGAGCCCAGACTTCATTTAGAAAATAAACACCACTATTCATGTGTGACATGGACTCGGAATAGCTTCCCAAAATATTTAACGCAGCTGCCTGTAGTCTTCCTAGTCTCCCTCCCCCAAAATAAAAGGCTTTCCCAATATATAGGAAAGAATTATTTGGATGATTTGTTTCATTTTTCAGAGAGAAAAAAGCTAATAATTCAGCCTACCCAAGTCACTTATTCCTCCTGACTTCTCATAATGCTGATAAACACTCATTAAAATATAAGTTGATAAAACCCTGGTACAGTCATTACCTTCGTCCTCATACAGAGATTGCCCAATTCAGTGATGTGATGTAACCAACACCCTAAATTAAAAATAGTGTTGTGACAACATATGGTTTATCCTACAGAAGCTGGCAGGCAGGACGCTCCTAATGACAAACGGGTTTAGGCTCCCAGCTTCCCCCAGCAAGGTGAGGAGACAGAAATGCTCGTCGCAGGATCAAAGGCGGAAAGGAAAAATAAAATAAAAATAAAATTACACTAAAAAAAATGACAGTTTTGAGCTCCTCTCCGGTCCATCCCAACACCAGCTGCCGAGCTTTGCCATTATTCTCTATTTACACCACTAACAAGCTCTCTGGATGCATTTCAAGGAAACGGCACGGAAAAGACAATCTGGAAATTTCAAAATACAGTCTGAACGTGCCTCCCCCCCTCCCCGACTCCCGGGAGGGGAGCACCGAGCCGGCGGGGGATGAACAACCGGCTGTCCCGGCGAGGGGACAGCGACGGAGAGACCCCCGGGATGGCAGCACCGGGGATGGACCCGCCGCCCCCCCCCCCGGCTTTGGAAACCCACGTCACGTTCACCGGGGAAACGGGGGGGGGGCACCGACGTCCCTTGGCCCCCCTCCCCAGACACTTACGGGGACTGACGGCAGCTTCTCGTCACCTCCCGGGGGGGGGGGCACCGAGCGCCCACCCCCGCACCGAGACCGCGGGGCCCCTGTCACCCACCCGGGGGGGACACACCGGGGGTCCCCGCTCACCCACCTGGGGGGGGACACACCGGGGGTCCCCGCTCACCCACCCGGGGGGGGACACACCGGGGGTCCCCCCATCAGCAATCACCGGGGCGGGGTAGGGGGGGAAGCACCGGCACCTCCCGGTGCCCCTCGGGCACTTGGCGGGGGATCACGACCCCTCCCCGGTCACTCACCGGGGGGCCCAGAGGGACCCCGCAAACACTGCCGGGGACGAGGAACACACCGCGGTGCTCCGGGGCGTTACCGGGAGGGGCACGGCGGGTCCCCTCCGGTGTCCCTCAGGCAGCTGGCACCAGGATCGCCCGCCCCCCCTCCCCATTCCCGGTTCCCCGGTCACTCACGGACGGACGGGGAGGGGGGGGCCGGGAGCCTCCGCACCCCCTCAGCCCCACATCAGAGAGTTCCCCCCGCCCCAGGCCACGCAGCCACTTCACGAGGAGCTCCCCCCTCTCACCTCCCCTCACATCCCCGCCGGTGCCGCCCGCAGGGCTCCGTCCGGGGGCCTCGTGGCGGCCGCCCGCTCGCCCTCGGCGGGGCCGTGCCCGCCGCCCCACTCCCGCCAGCCCCCGTACCTTACAGGCCTGGTAGCTCTCGAAGGCGCGTAGGGCGCTCTCCGTGAGCTTGACGTGGAAGACGGAGACGCGGGTGCCGCGGCCGAGGCGGCCGCAGGACAGCCCGTACCCGCGCTCCGCCTGCAGCGCCGCCATCTTGGGACCGTCTCCCCCTCCGCGCCTGGGCCGCCGGGGCCGCCCGCTGCCGACACGCCCCTCCTTATGAATTATTCATGATGCGCCGCTCCGCCGGCCACGCCTACGCCGGGCGCCTGTTGCTGGGGCGAGGAGGTGGGCAGCGGGCGCGCCGATTGGCTGGATGATGCCGGGCGCCGCGCCGGATTGGCCCGTGGGGAGGGGGAGGCGGGGATATGTAAATAAGAGCGCGGGGCATGCTGGGGAGGGTGGTCTGGTGCAGCCGGGGAGCGCTGCGGGAGCGTGGGGAGGGGGCGGCGGGTGGGGGGACCCCCGGGATGAACCCCCTGACCCACCCCGGGCATTGAACCCTCCGGGTGTGAGCTCCCTGCAACCCCTTGGCATCAATTCCCCGGGCATGAGCCCCCCAGGCATAAACTCTCAGGCATGAAATCCCTGGGTGTGAGCCCCCCAGGCATGAACCCTCTGGACCCCCCCTGGGCATGACTCTCCGTGGTGGGCACCCCCTGTACTCCCCCAGGTGTGAATCCCCCAGGCATGAACCCCCTAACCCCGCAGAGCCCCCCCGGCATGGACCCCCCTGCCCCCCTGAAGGTTCCAGGTTTCCTCCAGGGCTGATTTCGGTGTGCCAGGCTCCCCCCGAGCATTGCCCCCCCCTGCAGACTCAATGTGTCCCCATGCGTGGCAATAAACAGGCCCGAATGTGAAGGAATTGTCCTTTATTTGGGAAGTTCACAGTCAGTTTGGGGTGCAAGGACAGTGCTACGACCCCCCCCCACGAGCAGAGCTGAGGCAGCGGCGGGCGCTGGGGGGCTGCAGGGCAGGGAGGGACCCCCGACGGGCTTGGACCCACAGGAAGACAGCCTGGACAGGGGGTCTCCAGCGCTCCCCTCCTCCATCCCTCCCACCGCGGGTTTCTTTGGCTTCCTTTGGACATTGCACGCTCCAGGGATGTGCAGAGGAGGGCAGCGGGTACCACCAGCAGGGCTGAGTCCCTGGCAGCCCCCCCAGGGATCAGGGAATGTCGCTGCATTTCCCCCCGGGCACATCCACATCTGCTTCCCACAGCTTCCTTCTCCATGCCTCCTCCCCCTGCCCATCCTGTCCTGGCAGCAGGACCACAACACCCGGCCAGGACGTACTGGTGACAGGCAGCTCCTGCTGCCCCCGACACCCTCGGGGCTGGGGGCTGAGACCCCCCTGACACCCTCGGGGCTGGGGGATGAGACCACCCCTGACACCCTCGGGGCTGGGGGATGAGACCCCCAGGACACCCTCGGGGCTGGGGGCTGAGACCCCCCTGACACCCTCGGGGCTGGGGGCTGAGACCCCCCTGACACCCTCGGGGTGGGGGCTGAGACCTCCCCGACACCCTCGGAGCTGGGGGATGAGACCCCCGGGACACCCTCGGGGTTGGGGGCTGAGACCCCCCCAACACTCTAGGGGCTGGGGGATGAGACCTCCCCAACACCCTCGGAGCTGGGGGATGAGACCCCCGGGACACCCTCGGGGCTGGGGGCTGAGACCCCCCTGACACCCTCGGGGCTGGGGGATGACACCCCCCCTGACACCCTCGGGGCTGGGGGATGACACCCCCCCTGACACCCTCGGGGCTGGGGGATGACACCCCCCCTGACACCCTCGGGGCTGGGGGATGACACCCCCCCTGACACCCTCGGGGCTGGGGGATGACACCCCCCCTGACACCCTCGGGGCTGGGGGATGACACCCCCCCTGACACCCTCGGGGCTGGGGGATGACACCCCCCCTGACACCCTCGGGGCTGGGGGATGACACCCCCCCTGACACCCTCGGGGCTGGGGGATGACACCCCCCCTGACACCCTCGGGGCTGGGGGATGACACCCCCCCTGACACCCTCGGGGCTGGGGGATGACACCCCCCCTGACACCCTCGGGGCTGGGGGATGACACCCCCCCTGACACCCTCGGGGCTGGGGGATGACACCCCCCCTGACACCCTCGGGGCTGGGGGATGACACCCCCCCTGACACCCTCGGGGCTGGGGGATGAAACCCCCCCTGACACCCTAGGGGTGGGGGCTGAGACCCCCCTGACACCCTCGGGGCTGGGGGATGACACCCCCCCCCCCGCCACCCCGGGGGGGGAAACCCCCCCTGACACCCTGGGGGCTCAGCCCCTGATTGCCAGGAGGCTGCCCGGGGGTCCCTGCACCCACCCGTGCCAGGAGGGATGTGGGGAACGTCGGGAGAGAGATCCGGCACCTCCGGCAGGGAAAGCATCCGTGCTCCTGGAGCTGCGAGCCCGCGGGAAGGGGTGGCAGAGCCTCGGGGGAGCCCCTCGGCAGAGAGAGGCTGGAGCTGGCACCGCTCCTGTGCCAAGGGGCCACCCCGGCGGTGCCACCCTCAGTTCCTGGCCGCGATGACCACGGACAAGGCCACGCCGCCCAGCGCGATGGCTGTCGCGCCGAAGAGCCACTTCCAGGGGATGGACTGCGGAGCACAGCACGGGGACGTGAGGGGCTGTGCCCGTGGCAGGGGACACGTGCCGCCCTGCCTGCCCTGCCTCCGGGACAGGGCATCCCAAAAAGGCAGCGCCGTGGCGGCAGGGACAGCGTGTGCCGCCAGCTGACAGCGCTTCCCAACGGAGCTGGGAGCAAAGTCCAGAGCCTGCAGCTGGCATGGCTGGGGTCCACAGCCAGGACACAGCCAGGAGCACAGGCTGTTATCAGGGATGCTTTCTGGGCACGGCTCCCAGAGCACGGCCCCCTGCTCCCAGCGGGATCGCTGTCCTGACCAACCACATCCTGCCTGGGAGCAGGGCTGTGTCCCTCCTGGGGGACACTGAGACACCCCCCGTGCATCCCCACCTGCTCAGACACCCCCCAAAGGCCTTACCCAGGGCAGTTTGTCTTTGCATTTCCTGGGGGTGCTGGCGGTGCTGGGATTCCCGAGCATCTTCCTGTACATCTCCGTCTCCACGTTCCTCTGGTCCGCGTGCTTCTTCACCAGCTTGGAGAGCTCAGCGTGGATGGTCTGGGGAGGACAGCGTGGTGTTATCAGCCCTGCACCATCCCTGCCTGCCAGGGAGGGGACCTGTCACCCACAGCACGTTCCACCAGCCCTGGGATGTGCAGGAAGAGCTGAGGGGGGGGATGAGGCCTCATCTTGCCCCACATCCCAGCGCCATGGGGCTGCACCAGGGGACACTCTGTGTGTCCAATGCCCCTCTGTCCTGCTCGGCTGCTCACGCCACTCCCTGCCTGGCAGCAGGGAGCAGAGCCCAGGGCTGATGCCAGACATCAGGAAAGGGATTTTATCCTTTAATCGAGACAGGAAAGTGTCTGCCTTGAGGACAGACATGCACCAGCTCTCCCACTTTCTGTTTGGAAGCAGGCTGGGAAAAAACGGGCTTAAAACTCAGCCTGGTGTCAAGTGGGATTGCAGCAAGACCACAGCGTGTCCACACCTGCTGGGGCAGGAAAAGGCTCTGAGTCCTGTGGGGGGCCCACAGGCTCCCCAAAAGCAGCAGGAATCACCATGGAGCGTGCCGCCCTGCCTGCCCTGCCTCCGGGACAGGGCATCCCAAAAAGGCAGCGCCGTGGCGGCAGGGACAGCGTGTGCCGCCAGCTGACAGCGCTTCCCAACGGAGCTGGGAGCAAAGTCCAGAGCCTGCAGCTGGCATGGCTGGGGTCCACAGCCAGCACACAGCCAGGAGCACAGGCTGTTATCAGGGATGCTTTCTGGGCACGGCTCCCAGAGCACGGCCCCCTGCTCCCAGCGGGATCGCTGTCCTGACCAACCACATCCTGCCTGGGAGCAGGGCTGTGTCCCTCCTGGGGGACACTGAGACACCCCCCGTGCATCCCCACCTGCTCAGACACCCCCCAAAGGCCTTACCCAGGGCAGTTTGTCTTTGCATTTCCTGGGGGTGCTGGCGGTGCTGGGATTCCCGAGCATCTTCCTGTACATCTCCGTCTCCACGTTCCTCTGGTCCGCGTGCTTCTTCACCAGCTTGGAGAGCTCAGCGTGGATGGTCTGGGGAGGACAGCGTGGTGTTATCAGCCCTGCACCATCCCTGCCTGCCAGGGAGGGGACCTGTCACCCACAGCACGTTCCACCAGCCCTGGGATGTGCAGGAAGAGCTGAGGGGGGGGATGAGGCCTCATCTTGCCCCACATCCCAGCGCCATGGGGCTGCACCAGGGGACACTCTGTGTGTCCAATGCCCCTCTGTCCTGCTCGGCTGCTCACGCCACTCCCTGCCTGGCAGCAGGGAGCAGAGCCCAGGGCTGATGCCAGACATCAGGAAAGGGATTTTATCCTTTAATCGAGACAGGAAAGTGTCTGCCTTGAGGACAGACATGCACCAGCTCTCCCACTTTCTGTTTGGAAGCAGGCTGGGAAAAAACGGGCTTAAAACTCAGCCTGGTGTCAAGTGGGATTGCAGCAAGACCACAGCGTGTCCACACCTGCTGGGGCAGGAAAAGGCTCTGAGTCCTGTGGGGGGCCCACAGGCTCCCCAAAAGCAGCAGGAATCACCATGGAGCTGGGCAGGGCAGGGTGGCAGAAGGACGTTGTGGTGGCCCTAGTGGCACAGCCACGCTGTGCCCTCTGCTGGGGGACACATCCCAAGAACATTGGCTCTGCCAGCCCAAAAAGCCGCCTCCAACACGAAAATTTGGATGTCTGGAGGACAGAACGCTCCTGCTCAGAGCTCACCGGGGCTGTCTGACAACCCTCAGCATCCCACACTGCCCCCAGAACGCTGCCAAGGGCTCAGGAGAAGGGATGTCTGTGACAGCCTGGCGGGAGGCAGGTGCAGCCCAGCATTTCTGGAGTGTTTTCAGCACCGGTAGCCCGTGGCCCCTGAGTCACCCACGCCGCGACTGGAGAGGCACCACCACTTCCCCAGGACCTGCCCCCCTGGGGGTGGGGGGTGGGGCCCCCCCGGCCCCCCCGGGGGGGGGGGGTGGCCCCCCCCCCCCCCCGACACCCTGGGGGATGAGACCCCCCTGACACCCTGGGGGCTCAGCCCCTGATTGCCAGGAGGCTGCCCGGGGGT